GGAGATGTCTGATACCTCAGGCCTCAGGCGTACGCCTGACTGCCCCTACCAGGTGAGTGGCTTCTGGCTCAGGAAGACAGCTGTCTCTGCAGAATTTGTTTCACTGAGAACCCTACAGTCACCATACAGGTCCAGCCCAGCCATGCAGCTGGTGTGGCTGATCAGTGAAGAGACCTGGACCAGCCACTTCTGTTTTCTACCACCTTCCGGCACTCCCCTTCCCTGGTTGTTGCCATCTCCTGCTTCCTTTGCCATCTATCCCCCAGACACTGGCTGTGGTGTATGTGTGTGGCTGCGGAGGGTATGGGGTGTGATGTCTCCTGGCCTGTGCACCCCGCTGCACTTGCTCCTCTGCACCTGTGTCCCTACCAGCCTTGCTCACACCCCCTTCCTGTTCACCTTTTCTGCTCTTTGTTTCTGTATTGTCACCTTCAACAAATACTGTAATTACTTGGATCAGATGATTTTGTCTCCTCCAATAAAGCCAGCCCCATGAGTACAGGCGTGCGCGAGGGCTGTTAGTACAGTGGACAGATGGACTGTTGTAGCGGGTTATAGTCATTGAATCCTGTGATGTTCAATCATCGCTGTGTTCTGGGGTGACTCACTGGATCCTGTGGTGGTTGTCGTTGTGCATGGATGAGTTCAGTTGCTGCTCTCATGTGTGCTGCCTCATGGCATCGGGGCGGCACGGCCTCATTTGAGCGCTCTGCCTGCCTTGTCAGGTCTGTTTCTGAGACAGGCTCCTGCTTGTGTTGCCCAGGCTGGCCTCGAACTCCTGAGCTCAAGCAGTTCTCCCTTCTCAGCCTCCGGAGTGCCTGGGACCGCAGGTGTGTGCCACGATGCCAGGCTTTTGCCAGGGTTTTTACTTCCTTTCCTTTCTTTTATTTTGCTATTCATTTTCTAACTTGTTAAGATGGAATACCACCTGAGCTTATTTCACAAATTTTATTATTTGGTTTTCCTTCAGTCTTAAATATTTTTGAATTTCCATTTTGATTTCTTCTTTGTTCCTTGGGTTCTTTAAAGAAGTGTTTCTTAATTTCCAGGTGAGGTTTTCCAGTTACTTTTTATTATTGACTTAAAAATAAATCTTCATTGTATCATCAGAGAATGAGGTCTGAATGATTTCAGTCTTTGGAATTTGTGGAAACTTGCTATCTGCTAAATACAGTCAGTTTTAAAAAATGGTCTATGTCCTTCCAAAGCAGTCTTCAGGGTGGTTCCAGTTGTGAGATGGTTTTGTTGTGACTGGGTCAGGTTTACTGTTTGTGTCATTTCGGTCTTGTGTGTCCTGCCAATCACTTGTGTTACTAGGTACTGAGAAGCGTGTGTAGATGTCCCGTTGTGAGTATGCATTTACCTGTTTCTCCTTACCTTTCTCTCTGGTTTTGCTTTATATCTTAGATGGTTTTTCATTAGCCACATTTAAGTTTAAAGTTTTAAATTTTGTTATTTTGAAATGACTCTTACTATTTTCAGTAATATCTCTGGTCTTGAAGCCTATTTGCCTTGTATGAGTAAAGCATCACCCTCCTGTTGGAAGTTTCTGGTCTGTATTTTTCCCTCCTTGTTGTCAGCCATTCTCTGTGTGCCCCGCGTCACTCCTCTGAGCAGCTCACAGGCAGGTCCGGCACTGTGGTGAGGTCAGGCTTTCCGTCTGTGACTCTTACCTGAAACACGTGCCCACTCGTCTGTATATAAGGGTGGGTATAAGGGTGGGTATGTTTGAATTTCTGGCTTCTCTTTTGTTTGGACCCTGTTTGTCTTACTTGTTCTGTTTTTTCTTTCCTCCCTTCCTTGCCTTCTTTTGAGCCACCTTTTTAAATTTTTTTTATTTTTTATTTTGTCAATTTTTGCCCCTCTGCCAGTGAAAAATTTTATATTTTCTTTCTGTTCTTTAAGTGGTTACCTTAAAATCTCCATGTGCACACTTCTGTATCAGAGTATGAAGTTAACGGTTGCCTCCAACCTGTTCTCCAGCAATGATCTTACCACACAGTAGCTCAGTTTGTTCATTTCAAATGATGCTGTTAGCGTGCGTTTTAATTCTGTCCTTTTTCGTTTTTTTTTGTTTTTGTTTTTGTTTTTTTGACGCAGCGTCTCGCTCCGTCACCCAGGCTGGAGTATAGTGGTGTGATCTTGGCTCACTGCAACTTCCGCCTCCTGTGTTCAAGCGATTATCCTGCCTCAGCCTCCTGAATAGCTGAGATTACAGGCACGTACCACCAGGCCGGGCTAATTTTTATATTTTTAGTAAAGATGGGTTTCACCATGTTGGCCAGGCTAGTCTCGAACTCCTGACCTCGTGATCCACCTGCCTCAGCCTCCCGAAGTGTTGGGATTACAGGTGTGAGCCACCATGCGTGGCCATAATTCTGTCCTTTTTCATCTTGGACTTTTTATGTAGAATTGCTTTCCTTCCACTTGACCCATCCTTTGGAATTTCCTTAAGTGCTTGAAAATGCCTGTGTGTCATTCTTGTTCCTGGGAGACAGTTTTGCTTAGTACAGAATTCCCAATTGGCATTGTCTTTTTTTGTTTGTTTGTTTTTGTTTTTTTTTTTTCCGAGACAGAGTCTCACTCTCCTATACTGGAGTGCAGTGGCACGATCTCGGCTCACTGAAACCTCCGCCTTCCATGTTCAAGAGATTCTCCTGCCTCAGCCTTCCAAGTAGCTGGGACTACAGGCGTGCACCACCATGCCCAGCTAATTTTTGTATTTTTAGTAGAGGTGGTGTTTCACCATGTTGGCCAGACTGGTCTCGAACTCCTGACCACGGGTAATCCACCTGCCTTGGCCTCCCAAAGTGCTGGGATTACAGGCATGAGCCACCGTGCCCGGCCGGCGTTGTTTTCTGAGTGCATTCACTGTATCATTTCCTCACTATGGCTGCTTTTGTTGTTGAAGAGGAGCCGGTGTCTGTCCAGCCTTTCACTCTTCCAGGGTCACCTCTCTTTTCCCCACCCTCTGCCTGTTATTGAGACATTGTCTTTGTCTTTGTTGTTTTGCATTTTCATTCCGATGCTCCAGCTTCTTGAATCTGGGGCAGGCTCTCTCATCTCTTTAGGAAGTGAGCAGCCACTGTTTGTTTAGATGTTGCTCCTGTCCTGTTTTCTCTGACCTCCGGGTCTCTCAGCAGCTTTTATATTTTCTGTGTCTGTCTCATTGTACCATATGTTGAGTCATGTCTTTTGCTCTTTCTCCTCACTCATTTTCCCCTTGGTTAGGTCAAATCTCTCAGGCTTGTCTGTTGAATTTTTATCTTGATGATTTATTATTTTATTTTCAGAAGTTCCCAAATATGCCTGATCTTTGTTTATAGTCTCTTGTTTGCAGGCTTCACAGAGTGAGCCCAGTGGTTTTCTGAATCTGGTGATTACCCTGTCTGAAATGTGCTGCATCTGTAGGGACACCTTGTGGCCTGGGGCAGAGGTGGATTTTTGCTTCTGCAGGTACCTTTGGGTGGCATCAGGAACGCCGCTCAGTGTGTGGCTCGGGCTTGCGCTGGGCTCTCAGGTGTCACCCACCTGGCCTCTGAATCTGTGTCTGCTCCTCTCTGCTCCCTGGCACTGAGGCTTAGGGCAGGTGCTTTTCTTACAGATGCCACTAGAGGAAGGGGGTGCCTTCTTTGCAGCTTTTGGGTACCTTTGTGGGGACAGTGTCTCCCTCCAGGATGGCAGCTGGCAGTAGCATGGGGCTCTTTTGCGAGCTCCCCACCGAGAGCTGGCCTGTACCTGGTGTCTGTTCAGCTGTGTCCTGTGCGACCCTGAAGACCATAGTGTGCATCTCCATGTGGCCGGTGATCCCAGCAGAGGTTGTGCAGCTTTTCTGCTCCGTGGCTCGTGGTGCCCGCCTGTGCTTAGGTTTGGAGACTGGCAGTTCCTGACTCTTTGCAGGTTTCTTCAGATTTCTTCCTAGTGCTTTACGTAAGACATCTCAGGATTTTCAGTGCTGTGCCAAGTAAGTCCTGGGCCATTGTGGTCTTGAGATGGGCCCTGGAGCACCGGCCGCATCTTTGTTTCTCATCAGTTCCACAGGGGGCGCTCAGGGCACTTCTTATCTTAGTGAATCTTATTTATAATTGTTTCTTTTAAGTGACAGTAAACTAGTAAATGCCTTCTGATTGATTTTAATTTTAGTAAGGACTAACATTTATTTGGATCTTTGTTGATGTATGAGTAAATCATATGATTTCACATTTTTCCCAGAATTATCTTGGGAAATATTATTTTCATCCGTGTTCTATAAGAAACAGGATGCACCAAGAGGCCAGGGTCCATGAGGGCCTTGTGCAGGGAGGGCCCTTGAAATCAGGGCCCCCAGCAGCTGTCCACGCTGGAGCCTGTCTGTGCTCTGGGTGCATGCCCTGACGGTGCTGATAGGACGTACAGATGGCCCAGAGCCACTTACTACATCAAGACAGTGGGGGACGCATGCAATAGCAAATGCACAGAAAGTGGGCACTGGGTGGAAAGCGCTGCTTTATAAATAGTCATATTCAATCATGACTAAGAAAAATGTAGAAAAATGATAAAATTACCAGCCTCAAAACCTTGGTACATCTCTGGGTTCCCCATTTCAGCTGGCTGCCCGAGCTGCACTGTACAGCTCATTATTGGAACGCTGTCCAGGCCTGTCACATGCAGAACTCTTGGGACTCACAAGACGCTCAAATACTTACCATCCTCAGTCTGATTCTTTCATATAAACTTGTGGTAGTTTTTGTGAAAAGAGAAAATGTGTCTGAAATATGAGACCAAAAATAAGCTTAAATGATGAGTGATGGCAAATTGGGGAGGCAGTGAGTTGACTCGCCATGCAGTGGAGCGACTTTCTGTGTCACTGCTGCAGGTGGGCACAGTATGAGAACTGCTCTTTTGTGTCACCTGGTCGTTGTGTTTTTTGCATTAACTGAGAAGGACCGAAAGGGAGGAAAAATCTTTTTGTGCACATGCTCCTTTGAATTCTATGTTTGGCTTTTTTTGTTTTGTCAAAGGTTGCAAAACTTCCTCAAGTCGTTCAGCAGCAAACACCCGTGGCCAGCATCCAGCAAGTTGCCTCTGCTTCCCAGCAGGTAGGACGTGTAGACAAGGTGGAAACCTCACATTTCCCAGGTCAGAGAATGGGTGGTTTTCATCTGAGGTCATGATGAGGGAATCACTTTTGATTTTTGTGATACACACAAAAACATTAACTTCAGGGGAAAAACTAGATATGCTTAATAATGAGAAGAAGAGTGAACAAGCATTTTGGGGTGTTGTGTCAGCCGCACTGAGGGAGCCTCTCCTTGGGCTCACTCCCAGGACCCTTCGTTCACTGATTACTGCGAGTGTGTCCTGCAAGTCACAGACACTGCCCTGTGGTTTTAGGGAGGCGCAGGCCTCAGGCAAGCAGGCTTTGCTCGGGGGCCCGCCCGTGAGCAGAGGCGCTGTGGGCACAGGGGCCTGCCTCCCACAGAAGCCCTTCCGGCACTTTCATTGTTGTCGCTGATGCTCCACAATATGACTTTAGCACAGTGCTTCAAGTGTAAAGCAGTGCTTTAAACTTTTTAAATTTTGTTCAAAGTCACACTGGCATATAGATTTCGACAATCCAGGTTGTATTAAAAGCTTTACTACAACAACAAAATCAGTCCCTGACCCAACTCTCACCTTTTCCCCAGAGGCATCTGGTGTTAGTCTAAAAGCAACCGTCTTTTAATTTTCCACTTGTGTTTAGTTAGAAACCAGAGGTCATATTGTTGTGTGACCGGTCATTCTCCATGTCATAAAAGCATAGTCAGTGAAGTTTCTCGAGCCCTCCCCATCCCAAAGAACGTCCCCTGTCCTGTCCCTGGACTGAGTTTCCTGGGCAATGTGTGTTTTCTGACTCTCTCGGCTCAGGCTTCTCCACAGACTGTGGCGCTCACGCAGGCGACAGCGGCCGGGCAACAGGTGCAGATGATCCCTGCAGTGACCGCGACTGCCCAGGTGGTCCAGCAGAAACTCATTCAGCAGCAAGTGGTGACCACGGCATCGGCCCCGCTCCAGACCTCAGGCACTCCCAACCCAGCCCAGGTGCCCACCAGTTCTGACAGCCCAAGCCAGCAGCCCAAGTTACAGATGAGGGTCCCTGCTGTCAGGCTAAAGACACCCACTAAGCCTCCGTGCCAGTAGTCAGGGCAGCAGGGCTGCCTCTCATCTAAAGCAAAACTACCTTCCTCACGGAAAACGCTTTATTTGTGAACCTCGGGACAATGTCATGCAAGATATTCAGCACTGGGAAAGATATAATTGAAACAAAGTAGTGTAATCATTTTATTAAAATGCATCCCGCACTGCAGGACAAAGGGACCTTATGGAGCGCCCCCTTCTCTGTAAAAAGTGACAACGCGGTTTCCTCCAAATCATTTCGCCTTTCAGCCCCCACCCGCACCGGTCCCCCAGAGCCTAGTCCTGTGTTCTGAAGGCCATTTCGAATTTCTTTGTGAGCGTGTAGTGCTTTGCGTGCCACAGAAGCCATCTAGTGTGTGAGGAGCATACAGTGGACTTTCTAAAGATAACACGTGCCATGTGCCAGAGTTTAGTTCTTTATACCTTACTGAAAAATGCCTCATGGTCTTCGTAGAGGAGAAGGCCTGTCTAAAGTAAATCATCCGAGATTGGTTTTCCATTCCAAAGAAAGCCATTATGGTTCTTTCCTTCCCTCCTAAAATGTGACTTAACTTTTAAGAGAAATGTCCTAACACCCACCTAAACACGCAAGGCACGTTCCTGGCTTGTGTTCAAGGGAAATCATCAGTCATTGCATTGTTATTCCAAAGAGCAGCCAACAGTGGCTTCCCCCAGGCCCACCCCGCAATGGGATTGGCTTTCGTTTAATGGAAACTTCTGGGACTGATGCCTAACTCAGTGCACTCAAGATGCATCTCCAGTTTTTGGAGGAAGCTGGTGTTTGATGTAGTGTGTTAAACAGCTCCTGAGAACCTTTGGGACGCTCCGCCATGGCTGGCGTGAGGCCCAGAGGACCACGCAGAGGCAATGTTAGTACCGATGTCATGGCTGAGGGGACGATGGGGCCCGGACTCAGTGAGCCAGGGCGAATGTGACAGACACCCCTTGCTGCCACAGCCAGCCCTTTGACAAAGGCTGGCTCGTGATTCTGGAAGTATTGGCTATAGTGGTGGGCCCAGTCAGCTCTTCCTTGTGGACTTGTGACAGCAGATTTTCTCTCAGATAAGCTTGTATGGTTCTGCTGTTGTGGAAGAAAGGAAGCCCAGTATTTGCTACTGTTTTTCCCTTTTTTACTATGACGAGAAAATAAATGCAATTTTAGTGGAAGTGATTGACTGACAATGTCTCCTTACTTTGAAGTTTTCACCAAAACAAAAAGGTCCATATCCAATAATATCCTTTGTACTCTGGCTTGATTTTGGCCTATTTTACATTATTTGGTCCAGGAAATTAGGTTATATTAGGATTTTTTGTATACTAAAAATTAGTTACGGCACAATAAAGATTTTCCATTTTTACATTGTATTTCATCTGCTTCCTCCCCATTCTCTCACTTTAAGTGACATTGAGGAAGGTATTCTGTCCCATATGTTTCTGTGGACAGCGATACGGCAGGATTCAGTGAAATCAACTGGGGAACTCACTTTTGAGCTCTTGATAAGAAATTTGGAGAAAAGTAAAAATCAAGCTTTGATAAAACAGAAGAAATTAATCTTTTAGTTAGGTGAACATATCAAAGCAGAGGACTGGAATCTGTTTCTTCTAACCAAACCCGTTCTCCCTGACTCGGCGTGTGCCGTGAGAGCACAGCTTGCCGGAGGGAGGGCTGCTGTGTGGGCCTCGGATCTAGCTCCCGGTGGAAATTTTTACTCCTCCTCATCCAGAAATGTGCAGAACTGGAGTATTTAGGAATTCTGCCTTTGTCATCTGTTTTAATTTGCGTGCCCTGTTCGTTTTTTTTGTCTTTCCCAAATCTTGCTGTTCTCTTTATAGGTGAAGATAAAATGTTGAGTGCACTTACTTTAGAATATCCTAGCCATAACTTAAGTAAAAGCGCTCTATTAATCTGAAACACTACAAGAGAATTTAGCAACATCTCTCAAAAGCTTTTTTGGAGAGATGAACGGGATTCTGAATATTTGCAATGTGGAGTTCCAGCCCCGATCTCACGTCAGTGAGGGTCTCCTGTCGAGATCTCAAGTGTGTTTCCTTTGGCTGTTCCCTAATACAAAATATGGACATATTTTTACTCGTAGCACTCAATTTAGTAACTTCTAGATGCTACCGTTGACCTGAGTTAATTTCACTTTGTCTTGTAAGTAAAAATTCTCCTTTCAGTCTATTATTTTCTTGGCCTTCCATTTTAAAGGTTAAAGTTTCTAACCTAAGAATTAAGTATGCGTTCAGGAGTCTAGGCCCCTTGTGAATCTGGGTTCATTCCAATACGGCAAGTAAGAGTTGGAAACTTTGAGAACACGGACTATAAAGGCAGCAGCCCAAACACTGTCAGACTCTAATTGGCCACCCTGGGAAACAGTTGCCCTGTTATTCTTTAAAGAAAGACGTTTATTCTAATGAAAGCCAGACTGTTTTTAAAGCATCTGGCAGGAAACAGAAGGTTGGATCCAAGCCCTTGTTCAGATTTGGTGCCTGATAAGACGGGGGTTTCTCTTTTTGTGACCTTTATTACTATTTTGTTAACTGTTGTAACCAGTTAGCTGTTGTGTTTTAAGATAGAAAGGAACCAGACTGAAATTGTAAATACTTTGTAAACATAAGCATTTGTACTTGAATAGTAGGATTTTAAAGGGCATTGATAGCCTACCAAACAAAAGGCAAAATAAAGTGACCTTTTTCTATATGTTTTCATTTCGTCTTTCATAGAAAACTGGTATTTCAGTAAAAATGAGATGCTAATTGGATTTTTCATTTGTGTGAGGAAAAAACAAAACCAAACAAGTAATGTTGGAGCCAGAAGTGTTCCCCTCACCCACTCTTCCGTGGCCATAGAAGGACCTGGAAGGAACAGAAACCACATTCACTGAGTCCACCAGGCAGCCGCTTCCCAAAGCCGCATGTGGAGGAAAGAGCCGGCGCCGCCCTGCCCCACATGGCCTGCTAGCCGCACAGCACCCGTCATCACTGTCCTGGGGGCCATGGTGGCCCCGTGTGGGCGCGCCTGCCCCACATGGCCTGCTAGCCGCACAGCACCCGTCATCACTGTCCTGGGGCCATGGTGGCCCCGTGGCCTGCCAGCCGCACAGCACTCCCCACTGTCACTGTCCTGGGGCCATGGTGGCCCCGTGTGGCCTGCCTCTTGCACAGTACCTGTCATCACTGTCCTGGGGGCCATGGTGGCCTGTGGCCTGCCAGCCACACAGCACCACAATACTGTCCTGGGGCCATGGTGGCCCCGTGGCCTGCCAGCCGCACAGCACCCCATCGTCACTGTCCTGGGGCCATGGTGGCCCCGTGGTGGCTCCGCCTCTTCTGCACAGTACCTGTCATCACTGTCCTGGGGCCATGGTGCCCCGTGGCCTGCCAGCCACACAGCACCTGGCCATCACTGTCCTGGGGGCCATGGTGGCCCCGTGTGGCCTGCCAGCCACACAGCACCCATCGTCACTGTCCTGGGGGCCATGGTGGCCCCGTGTGGCCTCGCAGTGCCTGTCGTCACTGTCCTGGGGGCCATGGTGGCCCCGTGTGGCCTGCCACTTGCACAGTACCTGTCATCACTGTCCTGGGGGCCATCGTGGCCCCGTGTGGCCTGCCACCCGCACAGCACCCGTTGTCACTGTCCTGGGGGCCATGCTGACACCAGTGTCCTTCCACACCCAGTCCATGTGCCCGAGTAAGGGCAGGGACACCTGCTCACAGGTGCTCACCACCGAAAACGCCTGTGAGCAGGTGGCCTGGGAATTGTTGCTTCTCTTTTTCTTCTGCTTTTGGACTTTTCTTCGTTTCGTTTTAAATCTGATTACAAAAATCAGTGCATACTTTTAATTGAAAATACCCGCATTACGCAAAGTAAAGAAGCATCCCAGAAGCCCACGGTTAGTTTTGGTATCTTTTCTCCCACCACAAAAACGGGAGTTCACGGGGCACATGGCCCTGCAGCTTTGGACTTCCACTTCAGGTCTTCCAGATTGAAAGCTCCCAGGGTCTGGGTGCACACTTGGTGTCTGCAGGTGATAGTGCAGATACCAGGGTGGGTGGGAAAGCCAGCTGCAAAGCCCGGCTGGTGCCCCCTGGCCCCTGGGGGTCTGTACTGCAGTGCCTGGTGTACCTGCGGCTCCATGCCTACCAACCACATAACCAGGGGTGGGTGACTTCCTTCTTCAAGGCCTCTGCGTCCCCATGTCCCCTCTCTTAAGGTGGCTGGAGGATCCAGTGCAACATTTGGTGCTGCACTTGGTGTCCGTCTTTTATACTCCCAGTGCAGAGGACTGCAGGTTTTGCAAAGGCTACTGTTTCTGTCATCCTGACCCCACCATCACGTCTTTGCCAAATGTGCCGGTGGCAGCAGGCCCTACGGCGGGCTTATCTGGCCTTGAGCCTGTTTCTGTTTGCTGTCCAGTAGCGACCGGGGGCCAGTGGGTGAAGCGATTGTGCCTGCACACGGCCGTCAAGACCTTAAGGTAGCCTCTGAGCCTAGAGTGTGTTGTGTCACCTCCTACTCAAGATGTCAGATCGTGTGACAGCTGCCCACCAGCGTCCCAGAGTTGGGCGTTGTGATCCAGGGCAACAGGAGGGGAGATTCCTTTGCTGTAGGGTGTCCTGCTATGCTGTTGCTGCAGCATCTGTTCCCCCGGCCACATTCATTTTTCTGAAGGTCGCATTCTATTGGGTAGATCATGCTGTATACATTCGGTGGAGTGCAGTGCAGCCTCTACAAATAGGAAAGTACAGCCGTGGTGGGGGATGTGTTTGTGAAGTATGCTACCAGGACGGAACTGGTTGTCTGCCTGGATGTGCCTAGAATATCCTGCAAGTATTTGCCCCTGCATGTGGTGTATTCTACGTCCATGAGTTCAACCGACCAAGGATTGAAAATATTCAGAAACAAAAATGTGTCTATACTGAATATATAGAGACCTTTTTTTGGGGGGGTTATTATTTCCCAAACAATGCTGTATAACAACTATTTACATGGCATTCACATTGCATTCAGTATTATAAGTAACCCAGAGATTATTTAAAGTATACAAGAAGATGTTTTCGAGTTATATGCATTTTGCGTCAAGGACTTGAGCCTCTCGGATTTTGGCATCCATGGGAGGTCCTGAGGGATGCTTGTATGTTGTGTTAGCACTGCCTCTGTGGAGGGAGAGACTGGGGGGAAAGGATCAATTTTAACTGTTTACGTAGTTTGCCAAGTGCATGAATTTTTTTGTGTGTGGTGGGGGCAGGGTGGGGGTGGGGACAGTCACTCTGTCACCAGGCTGGAGTGCAATGGGGTGATCTCCGCTCACTGCAACCTCCGCCTCCCAGGTTCAAGTGATTCTCCTGCCTCAGCCTCCCAAGTAGCTGGGATTACAGGCACGCACCACCACGCCTGGCTAATTTTTGTATTTTTTAATAGAGATGGGCTTTCGCCATGTTGACCAGGCTGGTCTCGAACTCCTGGGCTCAAGTGATCTGCCTGCCTTGGCCTCCCAAAGTGCTGGGATTACAGGTGTCAGCCACCGTGCCCGGCCATGAATTAATTTTTAAAATAAGGCCCTATCAGCTTGTCACATGGTCCCCTACTCGGGAACCTTTATTTCCAACATCCTGCCTGATTTTGTGTAGCCACCTGCACTCTGACCAGCCCCCAGAGCAGCATCTTTCTTTCCCCTTTGCAGCCCTTTCCTGTCTCCCTGACTTTGTACTTTTCTCCTTTGTTGTAAAGTATTTCTCCTCCTTTGAAGACCACCCCACATAACTGAGCATTCATTCATTCATTTATTCATTTCTCCCCAGTGTTCTCCTTCTCCAGTAGTACCTTGGGCTGAACAATAGTATTTGTCTTATTTCTCCAGCTGTAGTGTGGTTCTGTTTTATCCCTAGTCAATGAATGTTTAATGCAGTGTATTTCATGCCAGCTTTACCACTAGTGCTGGAGTGGCAGAAGAACAATACTTGGCTATTCAAGAAAATCAAAGCTGATCAGAGATGGATAAATTACTGGTTGATTCAGCTGTTTATGAAATACATACTATGTGGCAGTTTAGACAACTAAGTTATAGTTGTCAGCAAAATAAAAAAGGGGGTTGCATGCTAGCAGGTCAGATAAAATAATTCAGGGGATAAGTACCACGAAGAAATGGGTAGGTGGTAAGTGATACGGGTTTCACTCTTAAGTAGATGGGCAGGTGATGCAGGGGGAGGAGCCTGATGCACAGTTCCAAAGCTCAACTATCTAGAGTGGACACGATGAAACCAGGGACATGTCCCACCATTTCAGTGGTCACAGGCAAGAGAAAGGGCTCTTCTTGTGGATCTTCGGATCCCACGTAACATCTCACCTTCCTAGGCGTCCCGACTCCCCTGCCGGATTTAAAACAGACCTCAGCCCGCCCCATCCTGGCTGCTTTGCCTGGTGCTCCCCTCCCCGCCTAGACTGTAGGGCCCACGAAGGGAGCCGCTAGCTGTGCTTGTCAGTGTGACCAGCGCTCAGCAGCTGTCCGGCGGGCGGGCAAATACAACTCAGTGTCCAGTGGGTGCGAATGAACGAACGAACTAGTTCTGGGCGGAGCCAGAGGCGCGCGCCGGCGCGGACCGAGGCCTGGCCCTGCCCGCCCCGCCCCCTCCGGGTCCGCTGGGCGCTGATTGGTCCGAGTCTCGCCTGCGCAGTGCCGGGCCGGCTCCCGCACTTGCGCACTGGCTCCGCGTCGGCCGGCCGGTTTGGTCGGTTGTGGTGGCCTCGCCGCCCAGTCCGCTGTCGCAGCGCTCATCCGCGCCGGGAGCCCTTGGCTGCGTCGCCCGGCAGCCGCGGTGAGTGACGGCCCGCGTATCCGCTGCCGGGGCCGTGGCGGGCCTGAGGGGTTGGCCCTACCCTCGGCCCCCGACCGCCCACACCCGCCGGTTGCCCTCGAGGCTCCCTGGCCGCGAGCTCCCCTCTCTGTCCCATCACCCGGTGACCCCGGCTGGGCGAACGCCCACCTCTCCCTCAGGGACCCCCTCCCCGTGACACGATCCCCCGTGAACGCCCACGCCTCCCTCAGGGACCCCCTCCCCGTGACACGATCCCCCGTGAACGCCCACCCCTCCCTCAGTGACTCTGCCCCCATGAGGGCCCACCCCTCCCCCTGCGACCCCTCCCTCTGCGACCCGTCTCCCCGCGACCTGCTAACTGCCCCTTTCCCAACTTCCCTCCCCCCCCCCCCCCCCCCCCCCCACCCCGTTTTCTGGTGACCCGTCCTCTTCCCCCCATCCCGTGACCCAAACCCCCTGACCTCCCACCCCTTCCCCGGTGACACGATCCCTGTGACCGTCCGGCCCGGTAACCGCCCCTTCCCCCCATGACCCTTCACCCCGTCCCCGGGTGCCCACCCCGTCACTGCCGCCCGCCTGGTTCCCGCCTCGGGAGACCGCCGCTGTCTCCGGTGCTGATGCCGCCTCTCCCTCTTGGCCCCCTGTCCTCGGTGTCCCAATCCCTGAGGTCCGGGCCTGGCCTGCACTCCAGGAGGGACGAGTGCGCTTAGGGTGTGGTGCACGGGAGCAATGAAGTTGATTCCACAGACTGCCCTGCTTGGCAGCTGCCCCAGAACTGACCACGGACCCCTCCGCGGGTCCTGCTCCTGACAAGGGCCTTCCGGTACTGGGAGTTTTGTGTTAGTGGAAAGGAAGAATCTAATAATACCACCAGCTTTACAGTAAAGACTGCGAATTGACACTTTTTATAATAAAGACACTTGCCCAAGAGCTAGGTAAATATTTCCTCCCTACCAAAAAGTTGGTTTACTTACAGTTAACTGGCTGAAAGTTTGCGTCTTAGGCTTATTTGTACCGCTCCAGGCAGGCTAGTTGGCGTTGGTTTCCATCTGTCAAACTGGATAGCAGTACCACTGGCTGTTGGGGGCTCACGACCAGAGAGTCTTGTCTGGGAACCACAGTGAGTGCTGTTACCACAGCTCGGCAGCACTGAAGGTACCTCTCAATCCATGTAGTGCCCCCACCTTATCTTCAGGGGATATGGTCCAACACCCCAATGGATGCCTGAAATCGAGGATAGTAGTGAACACTACACATACTGTTTTCTTATGCATCCATCCATGTCTACGATAAAGTTTAATTCACAAACTAGGCACAGGAAGAGATTAATAATAGCTAATAATAAAATAGAACAATCATAATATACTGTAATAAAAGTCATGTGAAAGTGATGTCTCTCTCTTAAAATATCTTACTGTATTGTACGCACGTGTTTTTGAACTGCAGTTCACCGAGGGTCACAAAACCATGGATAAGGGGAGACTACAGTAGTTTCTTTTCCAGCTGTGTTATTGAGACTTCAAAACTAACTAAATTGTTTGTTGAATGGAGTTGTCCAAGGTGTACAGAATGACAGCTATAACACAAAGGTATTTCACTGACGTCCCTGTCATGTTTTTGCTAAACTAAGACACTTTTAAAAATTATTACTTATGCCAGGTGTGGTGGCTCACGCCTGCATTTTGGGAGGCCGAGGCAGGTAGATCACCTGAAGTTGGGAGTTCGAGACCAGCCTGACCAACATGTAGAAACACATCTCTACTAAAAATACTATATATATATATATATATATATATAGAGAGAGAGAGAGAGAGAGAGAGAGAGAGAGAGCTGGGTGTGGTGGTGCTTGCCTGTAATCCCAGCTACTTGGGAGGTTGAAGCAGGAGAATCGCTTGAACCCGGGAGGCCGAGGTTGCAGTGAGCCGAGATCACGCCATTGCACTCCAGCCTGGGCAACAAGAGCAAAACTCTGTCTCAAAAAAAAAAAGTATGATTTATAAAAGTCTGTACTTCATGTTCAGTCACAGTACAGACAAGTAGAAAAACTCCCTCCTTTAACAATACCTAACACTCAAGGAGAGATGGCCTGACAGAGTCAGCATGTGGTACAGAGGTCTCTTGGCCATGATTTTAGGTCCTGCTGGGTCCACATCTTCCCACCTCGCCATGGATACATTGTCGTCTGATCTGGTAACTGTTATGATAACAGTGGTCATAACTACTACAAAACGGTTAAGTTGTAGGACTTTAATGTCGGTGATCATGTAACCGAGCGCCTGGAGGATAATGGCATCCCTACTCATTTGCTGGGTGGTATTCACATATTTGAACAAGCATTGAAATGTATGATTTTGGGTGATAACTCTGAGAAATACGGAGCATGACCCATTTTGAATAGGAGAACAGAATGTTGTAAAGTGATTCTTGGTCCCCTAAGAGTTCAGTGACAACCACCATGTACGGAAAAATGGCAAAGGAATGGGCTCTCTCTGAAGTCAGGTACTGAGGCCCTTCTAAGGAGGAAAAGCAAATGCTCTTTCACTGTGGTTTCATTCCAGCTGCTACAGGAACAAATAGTGTGTATTTGTATCCAGCTTATTTTTTTACTTCTTTGAGTCTGAAGATACTTTGAAAAACTTTGATTTGCCAAAGTAATTTTTTGTACCTTGGAATGAGCCATATTTTTAATTTGCTTTTTAATGTTACAAAATGAACCCTCATAAGAATTCAAACAATACAGAAAAATAAGTCCTTTTCAGTCCTTTTGTGCTGTAATTACACCCTCCACCTTTTTTTCCTTTTCAGTTAGTAATATGTCTTCAACATCTGCTCATGTCAGGAGATAAAAATTTATTCTTTTTATGTTTGCATAATAGTCTGTACTGAGGATATAACATATTTAGTCAACAATTCCCCATTGATGGATTGCATTTCTTGTCTGTTTTTTTTGCCACAGTTTGTACTGAGAGACACGTTCCTATGCATGAGTCCTGACACTTTCATTTCTATAGGCGGGATTCCCACGAATGGGAACTAAACGGTGTTAGTGGGTCAAAGGGTATGCATATTTAACATTTACGTTTCAATAGTTATTGAGAGATCTATTCCCAGAAAGTTATAGCAATTTATATGCCTGAAGCCATGAAGGGGAGGACGCTTTGCTCCCATCTGACATACTGCCTGTTGAATGGGTGAGGCCACGTCCCGCACTTTGTGGACTGTGACCCATTGGCAGTGCCTCTTCTGGAAGTTTTCCATTGTGTTCTTCCCCATTTCCTAGAGATATTTCCTTTTCTTTTTTTCTTTGTTCTTTCTTTCTTTCTTTTTTTTTTTTTTTTGAACTATTTTATAGGAGCTCTTTTTTTCTTTTCTTTTCTTTTCTTTTTTTTTTTGAGACGGAGTCTTGCTCTCTCGCCCAGGCTGGAGTGCAGTGGCGTGATCTTGGCTCATTGCAACCTCTAACTCCCGGGTTCAAGTGATTCTCCTGCCTCAGCCTCCAGAGTAGCTGGGATTACAGACAGGTGCCACCACACCTGGCTAATTTTTGTATTTTTTAATAGAGACAGGATTTCACCATATTGGCCAGGTTGGTCTCAAACTCCTGACCTCAAGTGATTTGCCTGCCCCGGCCTCCCAAAGTGCTGTGATTACAGGTGTGAGCCACTAGCACCCAGCCAAGCTCTTTGTATAGTAGGGATATTTACCCTTTGAAGTCATAAAATATTGCATGTATTTTTCTGCTAATTATTTTTCGTCTTTTGATCTTATTTAAAACATCTTTTATGTAGTCATGTATTTTTTACTTTACAGCATCTGGGTTTCCTGCATTACTTATTAAGAAGGTTTCACCACCTCGTGGTTGTAGAGATAGTCCCCTAAATATTATTCCAATAAAGCGTTTTTCTCCTTTCCTCCCTGCCTCCTCTTCCTTCCTTCCAGGATAACATTTAGTTCTTTATTCTGACTGAAATGGTATAAGGTAGGGGTGTTCTCCTCCTTTCCTCTCTGCCTCCTCTTCCTTCCAGGATAACATTTAGTTCTTTATTCTGATTGAAATGGTGTGAGGTAGGGGACAACCTTTTCCCCTCTAGATGCTACTACCATTTCTTTTTTTGTTTTAAATTTAATTAACAATTTTAAAGGAAAGTTTTTTGAGACAGAGTCTCACTCTGTTACCCAAGCAGGAATGCAGTGACACAATCTTGGCTCGCTGCAACCTTGATCTCCCGGGCTCAAGCAATTCTCCCATCTCAGCCTCCTGAGTAGCTGGGACCACAGGTGCACAGCGAATTTTTGTATTTTTAGTAGAGACAGGGTTTTGCCCTGTTGCCCAGGCTGGTCTTGAACTCCTGGCCTCAAGGGATCTGCCCACCTCGACCTCCCAAAGTGCTGGGACTACAGGCATGAGCCACCATGGCTGGCCTTAATTTTTAATTGATAAATAATCATTGTATGTATTACATATTTATGAAAAACAACATGATGTCTTAATGTGTTTATATTATAGAATGATGAAATTGTGCTCATTAACAATCCCATCACCTCACACACCATTTTTATGTGGCAAAAACCTTGAAAATCTACTCTTTCAGCAATTTTGAAATATACAATGCATTGTTATTTATTATAATTATCATCCTCTGCAATAGATCACTAAAGCTTATTCTTTCTAGCTAACTGAAATTGTTACCTTTGATCAATATCCCCCTTTTCTTGTTCTCCCACCCCCAGGCCCCAGTATCCGCTGTTCTGCTCTCTGTTTCTATGAGTTCAACCTTCTTAGATTCCATGTATAAGTGAGATCATGTGGTATTTATCTTTCTGTGCCTGCCTTATTTTACTTAGCACAGTGTCCTCCAGGCTCATCCATGTCCTTGCAAATGACAGAATTTCCTTATTTTTTAATGGCTGTATACTATTATTATGTGTTGTATATATACCACACTTTTTTTAATCATTCATCTGATGGTGGGTACCTAGGCTACTGTGAATAATGCTGC